TAATCTCTCACCAGACCTAGTTTGCGAATTAATCTTTATCCCCTGCACGTGTTACTGAAAGAGCCCAGCACCCACAGACCTAGCGTTATCTGCAGCTGCAGACATCCACTGGGGTTCTGCAAATTGTAGACGGTCCATCTGCATTAGCATTTTCCCCGTGTGTCTCATACTGTGCACAGTAAGATATTGAAATATTCCTGTATGGGAAGAGATGTTCAAGGCCCTTTCTCTTACGGGACCACCTAGTAAAAAAACCTGGTGTTGTCTTCCTCTGTGGCTCCTCACCATTCCAGGTTGGACAGGCAGGGAAGGCAAATAATTTGGCCTTGCCTGGAGCCAGTCCCTTTCCACCGCTCCCCCAGCGTTGGTGCAGGAAGGAGACCTTTGGGAGCATAGGAAGTGCAGTGCCTCCCAGAGCACTCTTCACAAACAGACAAGAGACGTAACTGCAGGAGGCAGAGGAAGCTGTGTGGAATCTGATCAAGGGGGCAATGGCAGTTGATGCTCCCCCCCACTCACAGGGGAAGATTCAAATAGACATGCCTGTCCAGCTATTGCATGACTGTCAGCTTGTGGGATTAGCGTCATTTCATCGCTCTTTGTCATCATTTTGCATCCATCACGCATGTCAATGCCACAATCCTGGGCCTACCGGATAGGTATATTTTTCATCATAATTAATAATATGAACTTCTGGCTTATATTTCAGTTCCATGAGTTTGATTAATATCAACCTAGGGCATCAAACGAGTTTTGTGGAGTTATTCACACAAAAGTTGTCAATGCCTTTGTGTTTGACTTGGAGTGTGTTACATACATTGCCTTGTTTCAGGGCAGCCTATGTATGTGTATGGCTGAACTAATTAGTAATTTCTAGACATCAGTGGGCAATGGTTACAGAAACTAACGCTAACCCAGTCCACACAATACAACCTTGCTGGTGGTAAAAGCGGAGAGAAAATTTTCCCTTTATGAAACCTCTGGAAGCTTCTAGAATATGTATGTCCTCCAGTTCAACCCCATGATGGATATGGAACATGCTCCAATATCTTCCCTGCACTCATAGTATACACCAGAACACACCATGATAAAGCAGTTGTTTAAAAAAAAAAATTGAGAATGTCACACTCCAAGACCCAGGTCTACACCCTGTGAGAGATGAACTGCCAGAGGGGAGGCCCGGCTCCTCGATTGGTGGGGTGAGGTCCCTGGAGAGACGTGCAGAAGTCGGATACACAGCTCAAGGGCTGTATGCTAAGCAGCATGGTCAGAACTCCAAAGCCTCTGAGAGGTGGGAGTGTTTGCTCCGCAGGCCACAGAGACAGATAAGCCAAACCCTTCTGAAAGCACAGCGTACAATGGTTTGGAGCAGTAGCCCCCGCCCGCTCCCCCAAACAGCATGCTTGCATACCTCGTGAGGCCACAGGGGTGGGGATGGGAGGCGGCAGGGGGCGGGGTCCCAGCTGGGCCTATGGCTCAGCAGGTAGAGGCTCTGTGCATAGACCGGTGGCCTGACTTCCATCCAGATCCCACAAGGTGGCAGGAGAGAATTGAGCCAGAGAGTTGTCCTCTGCCTTCCATGTATGCAGTGGCCGGCATGCGACTTCTAATCACACGTTCAAACAACTGTAAAGTCTATGATTTCTGGAAAACTATAAACACTATCTTTTTCAATCAAAGTGAATTTGTTTTTTTACACATACCAATGCAATTTTAATAGGCCGGAAACTGCTACTGTGGGGAGGTGGCTAAACTTGCCCTGTAAAGTTCCTGTGTTGAGGCTTGGTCCTCTGGGCAGGGGAAGCCCCATGGGTGATCTGGGGGTGCACTCAGAAAGAATAGCGGGACTCTAAAGAGATATGATCTCTTCCTCCCACACCATGGCCGTTTCCTGTCATTTTCACCCACTAGAAGTCGGGCTGCGAGGGGGACTTTGACAAAGACTTTGTCTTTGTGTTTGAACTCCTAGCTCAGGGCTAAATGAACCTCTTTACTATATGGGGTTAGCCTGCTTCAGGTGGCCTATTACAGGAACAGCTGAAGGGGTACACCTTTCCGGACACTGGACTGGGTGCAGACCACACCCAAACACCAGTTTCCAACAGAGAGGTCCTTTATTAAGCAGGACAGAGAGGCAAGGTGGCTGAATCTGAACCTGGCACATACCCCAGCAAATGGTACTGCAGGAGCCGTTCTTAAAGGGGAAAAGGGGGAGGTCTGTGTTAGGATGAGCAAGAGCTGGTAGGTTCTGATTGGGCACGTTAGTCGGTGTAGCCAAATAGGGAATTCGGATAGTTGGACTTTGGGGGCCAGCCTCAGGAATGGGTCAGGCTTAATGGGGCCAAATAAGCAACTAGACCTAAATAAATATGGTTTAACTAGGGAGGGGGGATGGAGGAGGGTGATACCTGCCGGTGCCATGTTTGCCATGCTTGGCCCTTCAACAACAATGTGATCTATGAGCAAAACCCTCAGTCATCTACCTTAAAAAAAGACCATAAACAATCCTTGTCAAGAACCAGAAATTTGCCCTTGTGCCTGTGACTTTGACTGGAGATTTATCGCGTGCACCCTTTGCTACATGGAGACACTGCCCCTCTGTTTCCAGTCTCTTTAGGGTTTTTATTACAAAAGGTGCTGGATATTTAAAAAAAAAAAGGGCTTTTTCTGCATTATTTATTGACATGGTCATGTGACTTCTGTCCTTGAGTCAATTTATGTGATGGATTATATTTATTGATTTCCTTAAGTTGAACCAGTCCTACACATCTCTGGAAGGAAGCCAACTTGATCATTATAAACGATCTTTTGGGTTTGTTCTTGAATTTGATTTGCATGTATTTTTTCAAGAACTTTCAGGTCTCCGATCATCAGGAAGATCGGTCTATAATTTTCTTTTTTCTTTCTTTCATTTTTTGTTTTGTTTTATTGTTTTATGGGGGTTGCTTGTTTGTTTGTGGTTTTTTTTTTTTGCTGTTGTTGTTAGGATAAAGCATCCAAAAAGATACCTTTGTGGCCCATCCCAGGTGGGCTGCTGAGAGAGGGCATCATGTAACAGATCTAATACAAGAGATTTATTAGGGGAGGGGGAGAGGGTGAAAGGACACCTCGGAGTAGGAACATGAGAGAGATACAGAGACAGATAGAGAGAACAGACGAGCAGGGAGAGCACCCCAGGGTGGCTCGGACCTTTACGGAGGAGTATGTCTGTATGTAACACCACACAGCTAGCAACTCTAAGGGCCTGGACTGGGGAATGTGCCGCACCTGGCGGCAGCGGTTGAGATGAAGTCGGAAGCCTTCTCTCCTTTTCCAGTTTACGAAGTGCCTTGAGAAGGATTGGTGTGCACTCTGTAAAGCCCTCCCAGGATGCTGCAGCGAATCCACAGGGACTGGACTTTTTCTGAGATGGAGGATTTTTAAATTAGTGCTTCAATCTCGTCACTTGATATTGGGGTTCATCTTGGTTTAATTTTAGGAGGCTGTATGCATCCAGAAAGTCGGAAAGTCAGCTATTCTTTTAAGACTTCTACTTTACTGGAATAGCAGTTTTAGTACTTTTATATTTATCTACTTGTGAAGTGTGTGTGTGTGTGTGTGTGTGTGTGTGTGTGTGTGTGTGTGCACCCATGCACATGGCTTGAGTATGTCTGACCTATGTGGGAGTCAGAGAAAAGCTTGCAGAGGTTGCTTATCTCCTACCATGTGGATTCTGTGGCTGTCCTCAGGTGGTAGGGCTTGGCAGCGGATACCTTCACCCACCGAGTCATCTCCTCAGCTGTGGAATGTAAGGTTTTAAGGTATATTCTTGTGATTTCTGAACTTCGTTATTATCTATTGTACTAACTCCCTTTTCATTTCTAGCTTTCTTAATTTGGGTTCTCTCTCTCTCTCTCTCTCTTTTTCTCTCTTTCTCTCTCTCTTTTGTTAGTTTGGCTGAGAGTTCATCCATCTCGTTTATCTGTTCCAAGACTCAGCTCTTTGTTTTATTGATTTTTTTGTACTGTTTCTTAGTGTTTTTATTTGTTTGATTCTATTTCAATAATTACTTCTCTGATCATGATTATTTCACTGTATCTGCTGCTTTGGGGTTTGGCTTGTTCTTATTTCTCCAAAGCCCTAAGGCACATCATTAAGTGATTTATTTGTGACCTATCTAATTTTTTGGGGGGTTTTGTTTTTTAAGATTTCATTCTTATCTTAAATTATGTGTGTGAAGGGAGAGGTATGTGGACATGAATGCAGGTGCCCACAGGGGCCAGAAGAAAGTGTTGAGTTTCCTGGATCTGGCAGCTGTGAGCTGTGGCATATGGGTACTGGGAATGGAACTTGGATCCTCTGCAAGAGTAATACTCTTACCCACTGAGAGGAACCATCTTTCCATCCCTCCAGGCCCCACTCTATTTGTGTTTTCTTATAGGCACTTAACAACATAAAATTCTGTTATGAATGCTTTCATTGATTCTCATAGGTATGGATTTTTTTATTGTAGCATTTAATTTTTTTCCTTCTAGATTTTCGTTTCTTTGTTTGAGGTAAGATTGCACTATGTAGCCTTGGCTAGCCTGGAACTCACTATATAGGGCCGGTTGGTCTTGAACTCACGAAGATTCACCTGCATCTGCCTCCTCCCAAATGCTGGATGGGACTGAAAGGGTACACCACAATGCCCAGTTTCCCCTTTTTGATTTCTTTGGTGACACACCCATCATTCAATGAAATGTTGTTTATTTGCTATGGGTTTTCAGAGTGTCTGTAGTTTTTACTACTGTTCATTTTTAACATTAGATTGAATGGAAGAAGTTCGTTCTTTTCTCCTGTATTTGTTAAGACTTGCTTTCCCAATACACAGTCCGTTTTAGAGAAGGTTCTGTGTGCTTCTGAGAAGAATGTGTTCTACAGGGTTTGGACAGTGTGTTCTGTAGAAGTCGGGTAAGTCCATTTGACCAAAGGTATCATTTAAAGTCAACATTTCTGTTCAGTTTTTGTCAGGCTCGTCTGTTGGTGAGAGTGAGCGATTGATGTCACACTTCTTTTGTGTTAGGTTAATCTGTGGCATTAGCTCTTCCATCAGTGGCTTAATGAAGCTGAGTGACTTGAGTTTGCTGTGGCGGTGTTCGGAGATGTAATTCTCTCTTCGCAGGTTTTCCCTTTGATTGGTGTGAGTGACCTTCTTCGTCTTGTCTTATTAGTTTCACAATGAAGTCTACTTTGTCAGAAGTTAGAACAGCAATGCCTGCTTCTTTCCTAGCTCCATTTGCTTGGAATGCCCTTTTCCATCCTTTCATCCCAAGGTGTTATTTGTCTCTGAGGCAAGGCGTGGTTCTTGAAGGCAGCTAATAGGTGGGTCCTGTTTTAAAATCCAGTTTGCTAGTCTGCGTCTTCTGATTTTGGGAATTGAGACCATTAACATTCAGAGTTGTCATAGAAAGATCTGTATCCATTTCTGTCAATTTGCTGAATGTAGCATTTGGCATTTTCCTAATCCTCTTTTGCTTAATGATCATTTTAGCATTCTTTATTTCTTCCTTGTAGCCTCTCGGATGGTGTGCTTTTATTCCCTTTGATCTAAAGAATTCCTACCAATTCTCATGGCGAGCTAGCTTGGTGGTCATAAGCTCCTTTGATATTTTATCATGGAATATTGTTATTTTTCCATCAATTGTGATAGTTTTGCTGGATACCGTGACATGGGATGGCAACTATGGTCTATTAGGACTTGAAATACATCTCTCATTACCTATGTGGCTTTTGAAGTTTCTGTTGAGAGTACCCACTGTTGTTCTGATGGACCTGCCTTAATATGTGATGTGGTGTTTCTCTCATGTAGCCCTCGAACATTTTCTGCATACATAATATAATATAATATGGTGTGGGGATTTTTCTACGCTCCTGACTATTTGGTGTCTATATATCTTTTAATACTTGGATGAGTCTCTCTTTCCCTAGATTCAGGAAATTTCTGCTACGGTTACATTGGAAAATATTTTGTATACCTTTTGTATAGAGTTCTCCTTCCATGCCCATATCATAGATTTGGTCTTTTGTCCCAGGGAGTCTGCATATTATTCATGAGAGTCTTTGGTGTTGTTGGCCATAACTAAATGTTCCAGTTTCTCTACCTCATCTTCATGCCCTGGTACTGCTCCCCATAGTACCATTGATTGATGGGGCTTATTGAAATTTTCATTTTCAGCATCATTTTAATTTGATGATTTATTTCATATCCTGCATTGACTTCTGTATTTCATTCCTCTGTTTTCTTTCTTAGCTAAATCAGGCATGCATCATGCTCGCTTCATTTCTTTGAATATATTTTCCATGCATCTTCTGAATTCTGTGTCTGGAATTTCATCTCTGTCACTCTCATTGAGGGAATTTACTCTGAAATCAGGAGATCTTAAAGGGGACGTGTTGTCTTTGTTTTTCATGTTGAGTATGGTTTTGTATTGGGAGTGTGTATCAGGAATTAGACTTCTGTTTTAATTTTTAAAATTATTGAGGTTACCTTTCTTCTTTCAGTTGGAAATATTTGTGATGTATTGCGATGTTCTGCAGGGAGCAGGTCATAAGTACTTGTTGGGGTATTATTTTCCTCCGTAAGACAGGTGTCAGAGGTCTCACTTCTACCTCCTAAGACCCTCTGTTACAGCAGTCACTAACAGGGAACATTCCCTCCAAAAACAGAATAATAGCCAACTACACAAAAATAACTCTTGGGCTGGAGAGATGACTCAGTGGTTAAGAGCATTGCCTGCTCTTCCAAAGGTCCTGAGTTCAATTCCCAGCAACCACATGGTGGCTCACAACCCTCTGTAATGAGATCTGGTGCCCTCTTCTGGCCTTCAGGCATACATGCAGACATAATACTGAGAATACTGTATACATAATAAATAAATAAATGAATCTTAAAAAATAACTCTTAAAGTGCCAATCATATTAGGGAGGAAAGAAAATTGATAGCATTATATGTACTAACATAGTTACCATGGGTATAAGTGGAGAGAAAAAGAAAATAGGAAGAAGAAATAAACACAGTGAGATTTTAGTGATTACAGTAGAGGAAGTGTGGACGGGAGGCAGAACTTTAGGGACAAAACAAGGGGTGGGGGTGAGAGAATCCAGGCTAAGGGTGAGAAAGAGAGAGAGACACACAGATGGAGATCAAGACTCTTGGGAGACTGAAGCACAGGGACCCTGGAAACCTAGTCAGACTATGCTTTTGGGGACAGGAAAAATCAAAAGAAAAGATTAAGGAGAAAAGCAGAGGAGGGACCACAAAATAATAAAATAAAATAAAAATTGAGTAAGAACAGCAGGGCTAAATTGGTCTTGAGTGTTGACTTCATATGGGTGAAATGTAGAAAGTTGCGTGGGGTACAACTGTGCAGTGTAGAGGCCTGGCTGCTGCTGTGGCTGCATCGACTGGCAGGGGTGCAGGCTGTGCAGCACAGACTGGCCTGGCTGCTGCTGTGGTTGTGCTGACTGGCAGGGGTGCAGGCTGTGCAGTGCAGACTGGTCTGGCTGTTGCTGGGCTGCATCGACTGGCAGTGCCAAGCACCAGTGCCTGGGGGAGGAACTTTAGGCTTCTCCATCTTTTATCACTGCAGCTGACCTGGGCAAAAACTCTTGTCCAGCCATTTAAGTATCTATTATTTTTCTGATAATTTATTTTTCAGCTTCTTCCAGATTATTCACTGGAGACTCTTGTGTCCCCTGCCTGAGTGGCATCCGCCATCTTTGGTTCTATTTTTATGCCTGTGTGTGAAGACTGGTGTACAGATACACATGCTTTTGTGGAGGTCAGAGGTTAACCTTAGCGTTTTTCCTGAGAAGCTGCCCACTTTGTTTTACTGGTCCCCTCGTTAGGACCTGGAACTTGCTGATTACGTGGTTTGGATTGGCCAGCAGACCTCAGTGATCCTCCTGTCTCCACCTTCCAGTGCTGGGATTGCAAGGTCAATCTATGCATCTAGCTATTTTTGCATGGATCCTGTGGGTGGAACTTGGGTTCTCATGCATCTGCTGGAAACGCTTTACCACCAGAGCTGTCTCCCAGCTGCTTGTTTTGGCTTTTAGAGAATTTTTTTACGTGTCATTCTGTTAGGGTCTTCTTGGGCATTGCAAAGCAGCAGCAGACAGGAGGCTGTGCTGATGGTTAAACTATTCTGCAGTGTGAGAGAGTTCTTGCTAAGTCAAAAACCTCACCCAGGCTCGAGTGGAATGGGAGACACTTTGCCATCATCAGCCCCTCCTATCTCCGCCTTTTAAAGTAGGTCATTGTTGCCTTGATATTGGACCTGCAGGTCCTGTCTCTGGGTCAGCAGGGACCTCTGTCATCTTCTTTGTGACCTGGCTTCTTTCCCCATCTCATAGTTCAAAAATGGATGCTCGTTGCTTTTGAACTTTAGTAACTAGCCCTACCCTCCGTCCTAAGGTTTAAAATGGAGATGTTTGTAGACTTGCCACCCCGTGAAAGCCAGCCCTCGAGACAAATGCTTGCACGTTCTCGGAGGGAGCAATGCTGTGACCACAGCTTCCACGTCATCTAGGTTCTGGTGCTGGGCTCTCTGTTGACCTCAGTTCCCTGGCGATTCCTCCCATGGCCCTTTCCGTACTCTTGGCTGCTCCTGTAGTGATTTTGTGTGAGAAATTATATTGGTCGTGCAGTCCCCAACCCTGCATGACAAGTGGGTTTCAGATTTTATTATCACGTTAGCGCTGGCTTTCCTCACGACACTGATTTCAACATCAGGTCACAACTACGACATTCGTTCTGAAACAGTTTCACTGGTATGAACTAATCATAGATAGTGCATACTTAATTGCATAATTTCATAAGTATTTTCCTTCCAGAACCGAATGTCCCATCAGATAAATGATTTTTATGTATTTCTCTTCCATTCCCATGGCTTGTCTTTTAATCCTCTTAGTGGTATCTACTGTAGAGCAGAGTTTCTCATTTCTATGGAGCCTATTTCCTGGCTAGCTCTTCTATGACTCATGCTTTAGAACATTGCCAGAAATCTTTACTGAGCCTAAGGTCATGATTTCCTGTTAGGAGTGTAGAACTTTTGTGAGTTTAGGTTCTGCGTTTAGATCTATGGTTCGTTTGAATTAACTGTCATGGACAGCACAGGATATGGCTTGAAGTCCAACTTGTAGACAGAAACACACTTATTCAGGCATTCTTTTTTTCCCCCAAATTTGTAAAAAGTCTGCTAGGGGAAACAGACACTGGTGGATCCTGGGGAGTTGCTGGCCAGGCAGTTTAGCTGAAATGGCGAGATCCAGATTGAGAGTGGAAGACCCTGTCTCAAAAAGTAAGGTGAAGGTAGTTAGCCTCCATATATCCACCAGTGAGCATCTGCAGTGCGCGCGAGCACACACACACACACACACACAGACACACACACACACAGACACACACACAAAGAGAAAGACAGAGAAAGAGAGAGATATAAAGACAGACACATAGAGAGGCAGAGGCAGACACATACATACACATGCACACAAAAGTACATGCATACACACACATATGTAAACACACACACACACACACACACACACACAAACACACTGAAAGAGAGCGATTTAGAATCTGTTTCTTACAGATGTGCGGTTCCATTTGGAGACTCTATTCAAGATTGTTGGTTTATCTGTCCTTCTGTCCATACGGCCTGCATTATTTTTGTCACTTTTGTGATGTCTTTTCTAAAACATTCTTTTTACTTTCCCTCTTTTTTCTTCTGTTTTGTGACAGGGTCTCACTATGTAACTTTGACTGACTTGAAACTCACTATGTAAACCAGGATGCCTGAAATTCACAAAGACCTGCCTTCCTCTGCCTCTCAAATGCTGGTTAAAGGAGTAGGCACCACTACTTGAAATAAAGAAATGTAAGGTACCAAGTCTTGTATTTTAGAACTGTGTTTGGCTACTGTGGTCTGTTCTCATACAGTTTTAGAGTCTGCTTGTGAATTTCTTCAAGGAAGTTGTTGGGGTTTTGGTTAGATTAATGCTGTATCTGTAGCCTGGGAGGCGCCTACATCTCTGCTCAAAGCTAGTACTGTCCATCATTGAGGCTCTGGGACCTGGGAGAATGGAGCCAGTAAATGAGGCGGTCTAAAGTCTCATGCAATAGCCAACTTTATTCAGAGCATCAGATAATTTATACATTGAGTGTTGATATAGTTACACGAGTGAAGTGTCCAATCACAAGGGTGAGCCGCACATGGCAAAAACAAGACCAATCACAAGGGTGAGCCGCACATGGCAAAAACAAGTTTGTTTGTTTTTTTTCCAAAGAGGCATACAAACAGACAGCAACAGCCAGTTGTAATGAGTAATCTGAAGTAAGCGCACTCCTATCTACTACATTTTTTTTTTGTCTGACTGACCCGTCCAGTGGTGAGAGGGGGAGTGTTGAAGTCTCCCACTATTAGTGTGTGTGGTTTAATGTATGATTTAAGCTTTAGAAGTGTTTCTTTTACATATGAGGGTGCTCTTGTATTTGGGGCCATAGATGCTCAATATTGAGATTTCCTCTTGATGAATTTTTCCTGTAACTAATATGAAATGACCTTCTTTGTCTCTTTTGACTGATTTTAACTTGATGCCTATTTTGTTAGATATTAGGATTGCTACACTCGCTTGTTTCTTAGGTCCATTTGATTGAAATATTTTTTCTCAACCCTTTACTCTGAGACAATGTCTGTCTTTGAGGTTGAGATGTTTCTTGTATGCAGAAGAAGGATGGATTCTGTTTTTTTTTTAATCCAGTCTGTTAGCCTGTGCCTTTTTATAGGTGAGTTGAGTCCATTTACATTAAGGGATATTAATGACCAGTGATTGCTATTTCCTGTTAATTTAGTTTTCATTGTTGGTGATGTTAATTTGTGCATTTTGCCTTTCTTTGGGATTTGCTGCTATGAGACCATCAGTTGTCTGTCTTTTTGTTGGTGTAGCCATCTTCCTTGGGATGGAGTTTTCCTTCTAGTATTTTGTGTAGGGCTCAGTTTGTGGCTAGGTATTGGTGGAATCTAGTTTTGTCATGGAATATCTTGTTTTGTTCTTCTACGGTGATTGAAAATTTTGCTGGTTATAGTAGTATTGGCTGGCATCTGTGGTCTCTTAATGTCTGCATAATGCTTGACCACAACCTTCCGACTTTCATTGTCTCCAATGAGAAGTCAGGTGTAATTCTGATAGGTCTACCTTTATATGTTACTTAGCCTTTTTCCTTTGCAGCTCTTAATATTTTTTCTTTACTCTGTGTATTTAGTGTTTTGATTATTATGTGGTGAGGGGACTTTTTTTGGTTTATTCTATTTGGAGTTCTGTAAGCTTCTTGTATCTTCATAGACATATCTTTCTTTAGGTTGGAAAAGTTTTTTTCTATGGCTTTGTTAAATATAATTTACGTGCTTCTGAGTTGAATTTCTTCTCCTTCTTCTATACCTATTATTCTTAGATTTGGCCTTTTCATGGTGTCCCATATTTCCAGGATATTTTGGGCTAAGCTTTTGTTAAATTTAATGTTTTCTTTAACTGATGAGTCTATTTCCTCTACTATATCTTCAGCACTTGAGATTCTCTCTTCCATCTCTTGTATTCTGCTGTTTATGTTTGCATTTGTGGTTCCTGATCATTTTCTCATAATTTCTGTTTCTATAATTGCCTCAGTTTGTGTTTTCCTTATTGTTTCTATTTCAGGTTTCAAGTCTTGAATAGTTTCTTTCATATGTTTGATTTCTTTTTCTTGGTTTTCTTTGAGGGATTTGCTGATGTCTTCCATTTTTTTTTTGTATTTTCCTCCATTTCTTTAAGGGAATTTCTCATTTCCTCTTTAAGAGTTTCAGACATTCTCCTGAAGTAATTTTTTAGGTAATTTTCTTCTGCTTCATCTATATTTGGTTGTTCAGGTCTTGCTGTTGTAGGGTCTTTAGGTTTTACTGGTGTTGCGTCATTCTGTATGGTGTTGCATGTGTTCTTACCTTTTCTACTCATCTTTTCCTCTAATAGATGTGGTTGGGGCTGTCTGAGATTCTGTTGAATAATCTTCTAGGTGCCAAAGAATCCAAAGCTCAGATGGTTGTTCCTTGTGATACAGTCAGTGCCACAGTTCTAGTTACCCCGTTGGTTACTCTTTGCTCCTGGAGATAGCTCAGCGCTCCTGTGCTTTGCTCTGCTCCCTTGGAGTTTGCTGTCTCAGACCTACTTTGGTCTAGGTTGTCAGCTTTGACCTATTTTTGTAAATCCTGGTCTGGATCCCCTCCTGCAGAAGTTCTGTAGGGGTCGTCCTTCCACGCCACCCACATCCCACGAGTTCCATATTGTCCTAGGGGTTAAAGCATAAGACGCACACACACAAATACAGAGTTCCAGTCATCCTCAAGAAGAGAATGCCCCTTTATTCAACTAACTCCAGGGTTAAAATACCTTTGGCCCCAGTAAAGGAAAACTCTTCCCACCCAGAGGGGGCTGGGGAAACTGGCCTCTGTGGGAGTTTTTCCCCAGGCAGGTGGTCGAGGGTTCAAGGCAATGTCAGACAGGTTAGATGGGCCTTGGCGCCTGAGCTTCTTTGAGGCAGGTTGAGAAATTACCATTTTAAAGTAAAATAGATCCCTCAGGCTAATGTACCAGGCTATAGCAGAACCAAGGACAGAACTAGCAGGAAGCTTAGCTGGTTAGCGTAAACATTATTTGCATCCAGTATTTTGGTCTCAAGGATCAAGGAGGACAGGGTCCCACAAAGTTCCTGACTTGGACTTGGTCCTGCAAAGGTTTCTGGCTCCTGTCTACTGCCTCGGAGTTCCCAGGCTTGGGTGCACCCAGAACCGCAGAGGACCTGGTTCAGGATTACTCCCTCAGATGTCCCAGACTCATGCTCAGACCCTCAGAGGTTCCAGGTTCCTGCCTATTCCCTTTGATGTCCCAGACCAATGCCCAGACCCACAGAGGTCTCTGGTTCCTGCCTACTCCCTCGAAGGTCCCAGACTCATGCCCAGATTGGCAGAGGTCCTGACTCAGTCATAGTTCCTGGGAGGTCCTAGACCCATGCCAAGACCCACAGGGGTCCTGCCTTAGGTCTACTCCTTTGAAGGTCCCAGATTCATGTCTGGACCCTTGGTGGTCTCTGGCTCTGGCTCACTTGCTTAGCCATTACTCCCCTGTACCTGTTCTTGTGGAGACTGCTGACTCTGGATCAGGTCACTAGCTCAGTCCTGTTATGTCAGTGT